AAGATCATGAACGATCAGTTTGAGGCTCTTCGTGTTCCTAGAGCGAACAGACGCCATTGGGCTACACTAGCATGCGACAGGGACAAATGGAGACATTATTGGCATCCGCTCGAGCAAATCGACGATTAACGGAGATTAAAGAACCTGCTCTGGCAGGTTCTTTGCCTTCAGCGAGATAAAACTCTTTGTCCTCATGAGTCAAGTGATCAAGTGAAATAAAGAATTAACCTGAAGCTTCCCTTTGGTCCTCCTCCCACACCTACCTGCTCTCCTACAAAATCAAGCATCAACAAAATCAATAAAACCAGGGTAAGTACTTTTGCCCCAAGGCACTATCTCTCTCTCTCTCTTCTCGTTCTTTCTCTCTGTTTATTTACCAGAATTTATGGTCACAGGACAAGGTCAACTGGGCTGGCCTTTCATCTGATTTTATTTAAATGTGCACAAAACTCCATTGGCAGAGACTAGTGCTCAGACTGTAAGAACACAGCCTTGGTGTTCTGGACTCCAGTGCTGGGAGCCCTGCTGGTGGCTGTGTTTGGGTACTTGTGCCTTTTGCAGCTTCTCCGGCAATGCAGTCCCCAGGAGCCCCCTCTGGACAAAGGCCCTGTACCCTGGCTGGGCCATGCCATGGCTTATCGGAACAATATGTTTGAATTCCTGAAGCACATGTGGGCCAAACATGGGGACGTGTTCACGTTGCAGCTGGGGGGCCAATACTTCACCTTTGTCATGGATCCCTTTTCCTTCGGCCCCATCTTCAAGGGAGAACGGAAAAATCTAAACTTCATCGCATTTGCCAAAAAACTGGCGCTATAGGTATTTGGATATCAGTCAGTGGAGGGAGATTTCCAAATGATGCACTATAGCAGCGTCAAGCATCTCAAGGGGGTCAGCTTGGAGGAGCTCAACGAAGTTATGCTGGACAAACTCTCCCTTTTTATCCTGGAGCCCCTGGGCCAGAATCCAGACTCTAGTTGGCACGAGGATGACCTCTTTGACTTCTGCTACAAGGTGTTGTTCAAAGCTGGCTACCTGAGCCTGTTTGGCTACACCAAAGACAAGAAACAGGACCAGCTCCAGGAGGAAGAGATCTTTAAGGAGTTCCTCAAGTTTGACCGCATGGTCCCCAGGTTTGTTTACTCTCTGTTATGGCCCCAGGAGTGGCGGGAGATCCGCCGGCTCCAGCATTTCTTCCACAAGACACTCTCTGTACAGCACAACCTGGAGAAAAATGGTTCCAGTATCTGGATATTGGACATACTTCAGGGATCATGATGTCATAGCAGACATGCAGGACAAATTCAACTTCATGATGCTCTGGGCCTCTCAGGGGAACACGGGGCCTAGCTCATTCTGGACACTCTTGTTCCTCCTGAAGGACCCAGAGGCTTTCCAGGCTGTGAGGAAAGAGGCCATCCAGGCTCTGCGGGAGGCCAGACAGGATGGTAAGCCAAGCTTTGACAAGGTGGTCAGCATCCTGCAGCACACCCCTGTGCTGGACAGCGTGATGGAAGAGTCCCTGCGGCTGGGTATTGCTCCCACCCTCTACAGGCTAGTTGAAGAGGACTATACTCTCAAGATGGCCTGTGGGCAGGAGTTCCTGATCCGCAAGGGAGACATACTCACCCTCTTCCCTTACCTCTCTGTGCACATGGACCCTGAGATCCACCCTGAGCCAGGTACCTTCAAGTATGATCGTTTCCTCAATCCCAACGGCACCCGCAAAACAGACTTCTACAAGGACGGCAAGAAGATCCACCACTACACCATGCCATGGGGTGCAGGCGTGTCCATGTGCCCTGGCAGGTTCTTTGCCCTCAGGGAGATAAAACTCTTTGTCCTCATGATGGTTGTGCATTTTGACCTGGAGCTGCTGGACCCGAATGCACCTGTGCCTCCCATAGACCCCCACCGCATGGACTTTGGAACCACCCATCCCAGTCATGATGTACGCTTCCGCTACCGGTGGCGGCCCATCCTGTAAGCTTGACCACATGGCCGAACACCTGACCTGCACGGCTCCTTTGGGGTTGCCGTGTCTCTTAACTCTCTGAAGCCCCAGACTCCCACTAACCACTGTTCATCTGGATCTCTGGGGACAGCCCCCCATCCCACCTCCTGCTGCTGGGATGGCCAAAAAAGCATTTTCCGGAAGTGCCTGGCTGCCTCTCAGGCTCAGCAACTCCATGCCACTTCACATTTCAGTTTTGCAAATGTTCGTTCCCAAATGTTCAGCCAGGCATTTGACTTTGCTAGCTTCCTCTAATTGAATTAGTCAGAAAGTACCATTTCTTGTTTTCACTGCCTTATCTTGTTTTCTAGTCCTGAGAACCTTCTAGAATCTTGGCCCTCCCATCCTCTGGCTTGAAGTGGCCTTCATCCGGATACCTTCTGCTTGGTAGGTCTCACAGATGACCTGTCATGTGTTGTTTATGTTCGGTTTTCCTAGGGCTTAGGTTTCTTATTCCGTCACTGATGGGGTCCTGTTTTCTAAGTGTGGATTAAAATGCAGAAACCTGATTTCCACTCTGCTAACTTGTCTCAAGTCATTTCTTCCTTTCTCCCCCACCCTTCCATCTGGGCCTTATTCAGCTCTCCATCATGTGCAATGGAAACAATCGGGTTCCAAACACACTGACGGTCTGGGCAAAGGTAGGAGGCTGCTGTCCTTGGGGCTGCCTTGTGGGTGGGCTCCAGCAGGAGCTGGGGCAGTGGATAGCAGGTTGTTTTTCATTTCATCCTCTCAGCCCTTTGCTTCTTAGGACACTAGAGAAGAGCCACTTTCTGGGACTAGCTTATATTCAAGAACAGTCAGAGGGAGCACACCAGGGGTGGGAGGGGGACACCTGGGAAAAAACAGAAACTTCAGCATGGGTGGTAACTGCTGAGAAGGCTCCCATGAAGCTTCTCAGTTGGAGTGAGGACAGTTTTGCTCCCAGACAGAGTCATCCTGCCTTCCTCCCCAGCCCAGCCCAGGGAACTACCCCTCTGGCCTCTAGCCTAAGAACAAGAGAAACTAGAAATTTTCCTGGGACACTGGTGGGTAGGACAGTACAGACAGGGAATAGCAGGGGAGACAGGTTCCAGGCTGGAAAGTGAAGGTGAGTGCAAAGGGCTCTGTCCAGATGGCACCTGTGAGGGGCAGCACAGGCTGGGCCTCTGACCAGTGCCAGTGTGTCGTCTTGTTACCAGTGCTGAGAGGGGGGGAGCGGCTGTACAGGACATGTATGATAGTGAGAGGGACCAGTGGGTCACCTATAGCCAGCCCTTCTCTCCTTTGGGCAGTTTCAGGGCATTTCTTATCTCCCTGTTTTCTCGAACACATATTCACACCCAGACCACTTGAGAAAACAACATAGAAAACCCAAAGGTGTTTTTACATGCCCAGACCACATGGCCACAGCAACACCCCACCCACAGAGCTCATGACCTCTGCACAACCCGCACAGCAGCACAAACACATGCTGTGGACATCACTCACGCTGTCGGGGCTGGTAACAGGGAGCTCTTTGCTGAGCAACCACGACCCTGTTGACTGTTCAAGTTGTATCTTACATAGGCAGGACTGAGGACCTGTGTCAGGTACAATTTCAGGAACTCCAAAATGCAACTCTACGTGGCCCCCCAACTCATCCACTACCACCCCCACCACACACTCACACATCCTGCAGTGGGCATCTTTAATGCCAGAGCTTCATTTCCCAGGGGTTCAAGGGAACTCCTGAGATTAGGAAGACTTTGGCCTTGGTAGGGGTAGGGGTGGGGAGTGAGAAGGCACAGAGACAAGAGATACTAAGAGGATTTCAGGAAACTTCAGGGACTGCCCTGATGCTGGTGAATGCTGTGACTCGACTCTCTGATGCTCTGGAGGAGGAGAGAGAGAGTGGAAAAAACACTGACCACCTGCATGATTCTCTACCCACTCAGCCAGTCACTAAACTCTTATAAAATATGTGGGGCCGGAGAGATAGTACAGTTGGTAGGTCACATGGATGACTTATATTTGATCCCTGATACCCCATATAGTCCTCCAAACACTGCTAGGGGTAATCCTTGAGCACAGAGCCAGGAGTAATCCCTGAGAACTGCTGGGTGTACAAAAAAAAAACCAAAAAACAAAAAAAATTAAAACAACATAAAATACATGAATTGGGAGTGTGTCTCAGTAGGAGCACACATGCCTTGTGTATGTGAGACCCTGATCAACACTGCTTTAGAAACACACCACACATCCCTAAGTGAACACCTACCTCATTGGCTACACTCACTGAAGCACGGGGATGTAGGGTTTCACATGGCAAGACCCAACTCTCCTGGGGCTTCCATGCACCCAGTGTGGGTTCTCCCACCCTCCATCCCACCCACCAAAGTTTCCATCCACATGCTGCTGTCTGCCATATTCTGTGCTTGATTGAGCAGGACTGACAGACCAGTCCTGTCAGTCAGGAAGTGAGACCAGGGCAGATTTTTGCTAAGTGATTCTGTGAGGTGAGGGAACAGAGATGTCAGAGTGAGCTCTGGCCCAGAGTTCCCCGTGGCAGGGCTTTATAGCTGCCCTGTCAGTGCACCAGGGAGGAGGACTGAGCCCTGCATGCATCAGCACCCACCTCCTCAAGACAGAGCCTCCCATCAGGATTCCTTAGACTTCATAACAAAACACTCCTACTTCACAGAGGAAAGGATTTTATTAAGTTGTGTAGCTGTCAAGTTCAGGATTGGAAGGAGCTTCGTTCTTCCTAGATTCTGGAATCTAACCTGGTGCCCAGACCTGACTCATTCGCTGGGCCATGACGGCAACATGTGAAGTTCAGGCTATCGAAGGAACAGCTCAGGTCTCATAGTCTCTTAGCTTTGGTTTCATGACTTTGTTCAAGCAGACTCCCACTCAGCCTGGAGCACGTGCTCATGCTGAAATGTAGCACTGTCCTCAGAAACACAGTCCAGAAATGACCCAAGTGCCCTGCTCTATCCAACCTCCGCCCAAAGCAGGGGGCAAAATGACCAATGAATGGTTATCCAGAGCAAGTGGGGCTCCTTCACAAGACAAAGGTAAGTGGGTGTCTAAAAAAATAAAAGGGTACCCACCAGGAAGCTGCCAACACAATGTTGGGAGGTGGGTGGAAGTGTGCAGAGAGAATCTAAGGCACCGGAACCCAGGGAATGAAAGGGAAGTGGAAGATGGAAAAAGATACATAATGAGAATACATCCTATGCTGAGAGTAGATAAAGGACCAAACATGATAACCTCTCAGTATCTGTACTGCAAACCATAATGCCCAAATGGAGAGAGAGAGAGAGAGAGAGAGAGAGAGAGAGAGAGAGAGAGAGAGAGAGAGAGAGAATGAGGAAAATTGTCTGCCATGGAAGCAGGGGGAGGGTTGCAAAGGGGGGGGTGTATACTGGGGAAATTGGTGGTGGAGAATGCACTGGTCAAGGGATGGGTGTTCGATCATTGTATGACTGAAACTCAAACATGAAAGTTTTGTAATTGTATCTCACGGTGATTCAATTTAAAAAAGAAATAAAATAGGGGTGCTGTGTAGATATGCACTTACATATGCATAGGTTACATTGGAAAGACGTAAAATTGCTGCTTCAGAATCAGACTCAGGGGTAAGAGAATGATTGTTCTATTGTTTAGAGTTTTTCAGTCTCTGATCCCTTGCTCCCTGCTATCTTTGTTCTTCATGTATTTACCTCAATGTAAAAAAAAAAAAAACCCTTCTCTTTATTGCAATGCCATGAACAATTAGACCATAAAAGTCACCAGTCACACTTCTTTGAGTGTGTTAAATATATGGTGTAATATTCCCAAAACTTTACCAAGTTTTTCATGAATCATATTCCTATTTTATCTAATTTTGTGGCTTACATGCATTCAAATATGACATCTGTAAGACTGCGAGTATGAATCCAACTATTACTAAATCCAGTCTCAGGAGCAGTGTATTAGATTTTAGAATCTAGAATCAGTTTTCCTGAGTCTTTACTCATTGGCCTCCTCTTCTTTCTCACAGGAATTATTCTTTTTTTCCCCTGGCTTTTTTGGGTCATACCCAGTGATGCTCAAGGCTCTGCACTCAGGAATTACTTCTGGTGATGCTCAGGCGACCATATGGGATACTGAGAATTGAACCCAGGTAGTTCGTGTACAAGGCAAATGCCCTATCTGCTGAACTATTGCTCTAGCCAGAATTATTCTTGACAGGGTATTCAAAGAAGAAAACCCAGCAGTTAGAACTGTTCCCTCTACCCCTCCAATCTTTACCTGTTGCAAGTGCCTAGCAGCTGTGGTTTTGATGCTGAATGTGGAAAGCACAAAGGTGAGAATGCTGAAAAGATTCAAGCCAGCCAATCAACAAAAAATGAGAGAGAGAGAGAGAGAGAAGAAGAGCCACAGGGTGAAATGTGGCACATTTGATCCCTATTTCTACCAGCCCCTCTTCTTTTTTATTTGTTTGTTTGTTTATTTATTTATTTAGAATACCCATCCCTCCACCATTGACTATTTCCCACCACCATAGATCCCAGTATCCCCCCCACCCCCATTCCCCCCATCCCACCCTGCCTCTGTGGCAGAACATTCCCTTTTGTTCTCTCTCCTATTGGGTGTTGTGGTTTGTAAAAGAGCTAAGCCTGATTTTCAGGGAGAAATGTTGGATGATTTACTTTCCATTGATCACTTTGTATATAAGGAGATGTCGCGCAGCCGCGTAAGTGGCCACGCAGTTTGGAGTAAAAGTCCTGGTTCCCACATGCCCGAGCTATGCTTGTAGAGGCTCATGGTCACTGGGGTTCCATCTGGAGGAGGCGGGATGCGGCACCTACCCCATCTGGGACTTCCCGGTGATCTCGGCTTTGTTTGGAACCTGGAGCATTCTCCGGGAGCTGGAGCCTCCCAGCGGCCTTTCTTCTGTTGCTGTGTGCTGTAAAGATGGCACTGGGGGGGGGGGGGGGCGGGTTGTGGGCGTGACTTCCAGAATCAGAGGTTACCTGGGAACCGGGGCAGTCCCGGCAGTTTGGAGTAAAAGTTCTGGTTCCCGCATGCCCGAGCTATGCTTGTAGAGGCTCATGGTCACCGGGGTTCCATCTGGAGAAGGCGGGATGTGGCACCTACCCCATCTGGGACTTCCCGGTGATCTCATGTCCCTCTTCTTTTTACTCAGGTTTGATTGTGCAGGAACAGAAGGATAAAACCTTGCTCTTTCCCACCACAGAATTCTTCCTGGAGCTCTTGCAGAAAGCATGCAGCATGCAGTTCCAGGTGGGGTATGGTGAAGGATGGACTTGGATTTAATTCAGTCCCTTGTGCAAACCCAGGGAAAATTATAAAGGGTTCAGTTTTGATATTTCTTTTTTTTAATAATGTAGGAGTACTGCTATTTATTCAGCCATTGATTAAGCTGATTGAATTGGGCATAAACTCCACATTATTTTTTAAAAATTTTTTAAATTTAAATCCATGACATTGGCAACTATCGCCCGATCTGCCTATTGTCTGTCATCTACAAGTTGTTCACTCGAGTCATCCTAAATAGGATTGGCAGAACACTAGATGAAGGACAACCATGCGAGCAAGCCGGGTTCCGCAAAGGATTCAGCACCATCGACCATATCCACACGATAACCAAGCTCATTGAGGTTTCTTGGGAGTTCAAGATGCTGCTCTGTTTAACGTTCATTGATTTAAAGAAGGCCTTTGATTCTGTTGAGACGGAAGCGGTCATTGAAGTCCTAGCCAATCAGGGCATTCAAGCCCAATACATCAGGATCCTCCGTGAGCTGTATTGCGGATTCACTACCAGGATCTCACCATTCTACAAAGAAGTGATCGTTGATGTCAAGAGAGGGGTGAGGCAGGGTGATACCATTTCACCGAAACTCTTCAGTGCCACCCTCGAGAACATCACGCGACGACTGGAATGGGAAGGAATGGGAGTGAAGATAGATGGTCGGCAACTACACCACCTCCGCTTTGCTGATGACATTGTTTTAATAACACCAAACATCAGTCAAGCGGCACAAATGCTGGCTGACTTTGACCGTGAGTGTGGAAAGGTAGGACTACAGCTGAATCTTACGAAGACAATGTTTATGAGAAACAGCCTCGTTCCTGACGCCCCATTCGCTCTCAACGGAATGACCATCTCCGAATGCAACAGCTATGTGTACCTAGGTCGAGAGGTCAACATGACAAATGACCTGGCACCCGAGCTGCGCAGGAGGAAGAGAGCGGCTTGGAACGCCTTCAAGAACGTCGAAGAAATAGCTAAGAGGAGGAAGAACCTCCGGCTCCTGGCACATCTCTTTGATTCCACTGTTCTTCCTGCATTAACATATGCCTCAGAGACCTGGGCCCTATGTAAACAAGATGAGAACGCTATTCAGGTCTCCCAAAGAAGAATAGAAAGAGCTATGCTTGGAATATCACGTTTCACTCAAATGAGAGAAAGAATCCGGAGTTCTGACATCCGTCGACGATCAAGAATCAGGGACGCTGTCTCATTTGCCAAGGTGTCGAAAATCAGATGGGCTGGTCACGTAATGAGATTTAAAGATGACCGCTGGACTAGAGTTGTTACCGACTGGATTCCACGGGATGTCAAAAGACCGCGTGGCCGCCCACCTACCAGATGGTCAGACTTCTTCGTGAAGATCATGAACGATCGGTTTGAGGCCCTTCATGTTCCTGGAGCGAACAGATGCCATTAGGCTACACTAGCACGCGACAGGGACAAATGGAGACGTTACTGGTGTCCGCTCGAGCAAACCGACGACTAACGGGAAGTTAAGTGATTAAGTGAGTTCATAATGTTTGATTACACTCAATATTCAAACGCTCCACCACCATTACACCTTCCCTCAACCAAATTTGGGATGTTTCCATCCCAAACCCCAGTCCCTGTCACAAAACACAACCAAAGTAATACATTTTGTATTGTCTGTTATGAAGAACTGCTGAATATGCTTACAAAAAAGTTTTCATATAGGAAACAGCGTGAAGATTGTTCTATTTTGGCAGGAGCCATTAAGACATTCTATAAGATATCACTAATATGTTGTTAAAGTTTGGGTGGTGTGAGCTTTAGTATACATATCTGAAAATATGCATATATGCATATATATATTTCTCTCTATGATTTGTTGCCTACTATCTGAACCCCATCAAATGTTTATTCATATGTGAGGCTCTGCCCAAGCGAGTGGGGAGTGGCATTGAGCATGGCAACATTTGGGTTGTGGAAGTCTTTGGCTGCTGGGTCCCTTGGAGCAGGGAGGGCTCTCACATGCCCCCCTCTAGGGCGCCCCATGTGAAGCAGCCTGGCACGGAGTCCAGTGGCATGGTTATGGGGGTCTCATTTTATGCTCCCTTTAGGGTGAAGCAGCAATGTGATCTGGATGGTGGCTGATGGATGACAGGATTATCTGGCGCAGGCAGGAGGTGGCTTATGGGCGTGACCCCTGGGTCACTGGAGGATGGGGGAAGCGGGCAGAGGATCTCCACTCCTGGTCCTGTTGAGCCCAGAGTCCAAGGTCACAAAGTTCCACATTGCCTGGGTTCCATAGGACTCCATTCATGCATGAGGCTCAGCCTGAGCACATGGGGAGTAGCCCTGAGCGTGGCACAGGTTCCTGCCTACCTCTGCGCTACAGGCCCTAACTGCATATTTTGATCTCTTTTGAGGTTTATGGGTCTCTGAAATAAGGGCAATAAATGAGCTTATATAGCTGAGCTGGAGGTGGTTTGTGGGTGTGTCTCCCACATACCTAACTTTTGGCCATTTAATTTCTTGGTAAACTTGGCCCCAAGTTGTTGGGGTCTGGCCAAAGGCACAGCAGCAATTTTGAGGTATCTGAAGTCTGAAGACACCATCAGGAGGCTGATGCACTCGCCCCACAGGTACAGGATGACCTGCTGGTGGCATCATACCCCCAGTTTTGACATTTTTTAGATGAAAAAAAGTTTCCCCAAAGTCCGAGTCAGAGATACAGATAGGACAGACAGCCAGACACACAACACAAACAGCACTTCAGTTTGGCCACAGGACCGTCATACACTCTGGCAGTGGCAGAAGGGGTTTTGAGGGACTTTTTGGTGAAAAGTTGGTTGGGATCTGTTCAGTGTTTCTAGCTCTGCCCATGAATAGCAATGTAGTACCTTTGCTGAGCACAAGGGGGAGTTGGTCTCAATTGAAGGAAAATGAAGGAAATTTGGAGCAGCAGCAGAGGAAGAATGGAATGAAGAGAGGTAAATTCCATTTAATTGAGTCATATGTTAGTGTCCTGGACGCGTTCTTCATTTCTGGGTCAATTATTTCCTGAACCTGGAAGTGGTGTGGAACCAGTAGGCTGCACTGGAGACTTAATACAAACTTAACCCAGTCCCTTGGAAGAGAGCATTTCTGGGAAAATGAAAAGATGGGATTTCTCCAGAGAAGAAGAGGAATCCTTGGATGACATTGGAGAAAAAAAGGAAAAGGGGATGAGGGAGCTTGGTGGATAAATAAGGAGTAAGTAAATGAAGTGGTCGGGAGTTGAAAAATGAAGCTGAAAAGTTATGGGGTGAGGTGGACAAGTAAGACATCACTGGAACATTGCAGAGGGCAGGAGCTGTCACAAGAATGAGCCCTGGAGGGGTAGTGGCTGACCAGAGAGCAAGACCAGAGAGCACCAGGTATGGCAAGTGGGACTCTGCTGATCTGTCCACGTGAAGGTGAGTGTCCTCCACAGCTCCACCAAGGCAGGCATCCTAGTGCCCAGTTCTTGCTCTTCTCGGGTGCCCACAGAACTTCCGTTCTTCCTACCACCCTAAGCTTCAGATATTGAGGTTGGTGGTATACCTATGGCCTAGTAGACAAAGTGTGGCAGTGATAGAGGGCTGATGTGAACTTGTATTTTGGGCGTGCTTTCTTGTTTTAGCCCCCCCCCCCATGTATTCAGAAAAATTAGCTTCAGGCATTTTTTAGAAAATTCACTAATTTTTGAGACCCAGTGACTTCTCTCAAAACTTCTCTTTTAATTGTAAGCATTTGTAAGATGATTTTATTGGAGACAGGACTTGACCATTTACTAATCTGCAGGCCCTGTTGTTAATCAAGCTCTTTCATGATTTGTTAGAATAATAATCATCATAAAAACAAAAGTTGGTATTCATGCTATCTTAGCCAGAATCATTGATGGGGGCGTCTATATTGGTCGACCAACTATCTGAAATCCAATCTCCGGTTTGAGGTGCAGATGTTCTGGGCAAATCTTCTCCGGCTCCAGTATGTCTCTGCATATCTCAGGTGGCACCTCCCCTCGGATAGTTGAACTGGACATACTCAAGGTTGGGTATTTTATGTTGTTGTCAAATGTGAATATAAACAAGGCAACATGATAAACTTAAACAAAGAGGAGAGGCCAATCTGACACAGCCCCGCAGGTCTAGTCTGGCGCGCACACCACCACAAAGGGCAGCGGGATGCGGTGCAGAGTTCCCAGAGCATCAGCGTAGTGGTGCCCGAGCGACTATGGGCATGAGAGATGGGGACAGGGTGGAGACAGGTAATAAACCTTGGTCCAGCCACAAGATCCTTCTTTCCCCCTCCATGGTTTTCTCATTGTCCCTCACACCCCTGAGAATCTTGCCCTTTCCTCTACGTGAGTTTACCCTGGGGCCATGTGACTGTCTGCTAACCTCTCCTCCTGCTCACCTCACCACCTAAGCACTTCTGTCCTGAAGTGAGGTCACACTGCCACCCTCCATGGGCAGCCTGAGGACCAACTTGGGCAAAAAAATCTCTTGCTAAGAAGCCTTTTCCAGTGCGACGATTTGAGTGGCAAGTTTAAAGGACATTTCCTAGCTCACGACGCAGCAGCACTGCTGAACCTTGGTTCTGCTCCAACTAGTTCAAATCCCCAACAACCAAAATGGTTAGTGTCCCCTACCCCAGAGTGTCAGGGTCCACTACTCCAACCTCCTCAGCATCACCACCCATTCAGATCATGAACCCCTCTCCCTGCCCCTTGCAAACAGTTCTTGCCTCCTAATAGTCCCACATCCAGGCTTTACCCCCTGTGGTATCCTCTGATCACTGACCTCAGAATATTGAGAATGAGGTCACTCATTCTTTATGTTTGATTTTCTGGGGAATAACCTGTCCTTGATTTCCTTCAGAAGCCCCCTACTTCTCTGAAGGCTGTAAAATATTCAGTGAGGGGAAGGTTGGGTTGCTCTGCATTTTCAAGAACAGAAAGAGACCTCAAACTCCTCATAGGAGAACTGTGTGGCACATGATTTCTCCTTTTTAAATGGGCTCCCAGGAACTGATGTTTTTGTAAGATCTGGACAAACTCTTTTCTCTAAGCTCAAATCCCTAGTAACTCAAACCCCACACTCACAATACAGCAGATGAAAACTCAGTTATTAGAAAGAATTTACTGGGGAGAGTCAAGGAGTTAATTTGGGCCTGATTGTGCATTTCATTGCTTGGACACGCCCTGAGTAGAGTGATAAGGGGCTGGTGGTTCTGCACATCTTGCTGCCCACAGGTGATGTTTAGATGGGACACAGGTTCTCTGTGAGACATGGCAAGGGGAGGCAGTGAGGTTCTCAGGCTTGCTGCCCGCAGGAGACCCCAAGAAGGATTCTGAGCTGTGAGGACCTGGCGGTGGCCTAAGGGATGCCATGCTGTGGACAGTGCTGGGGTGTCCTGGGATGCCCCCTGCATGTCCAGTTCCTGCATGTTCCCTGTAGCTTTGTTAAGTGAAGGTGACCTGGGATCAAGTTCCAAGAAATGGGGGTCAGGTTTTATTGGTGTAAGATCACTGAGTAGGAGCATTGCACTTGGAATCTGCCATAGCCGGCATCTCTCTGGTTCCTGCTCTCCATCCAGTGCTGGAGTTTTAAGCCTGGCACTGAAGAGCTGGGGTTTGGGGGGTTGAGAATGAATGACATCAGGTGTCCATTGACACTCCTTAGACTATACTAACTCGAGGGTCTCCATGGAAACTGCCTGTACGTTATCAACCAGATTAGGAATTCTTCTGTGATGTGGCTATGAATACGGCCACTGGGAAAATAGATGTGAACTGTGAATGTGTTCCCTAAAGATCAGGGCCATGGTCAGCTGTCTTAAATCAATTCGTTTCCTTTGGTGAGAAAACTCAAAGGAAGATGAGAAGATTCAGGATGAAAACTGAAACTTTCTTGTGAATACCTTGCATAGGTGGATTCTTAAATACTATCGGAGAAAGGATGGCCGTCATCGCTGGGTCACCAAGTTAAAGTAAAAGCCAAAAGAAAAGAAAGTTTTATGGAATCACCAATAGTTAAGGGATCACTTGTTGGAACAACCAGACATATGCATCATTCTAAAAGATGCTGTTCCTATGAGCATGGCAAGCAATGCCCAATGACAGTAATACTAGCAAAGCTCCCCCATCACAGGTCACCCTAATAGATAGTAGAACAGTGAAAATATTTGAAATATTGCAAGAATTACCAGTGTTTGACATAGAAACATGATGTCAGCACATGTTATTGGAAACCAGTACCAATGGACTCACCCCACATAGAGTTGCCATAGAATGTCAACTAGAGGAGACAATGCAGCATCTGTTAAGGCCCAGGAATGGAGCACAGCATAATACAACGTTGTTAATTTAAACTATTTTTTACTGTACTGCATTATACATTAAACTTGTTCAGACTTATTGCTTGTTTGCTCAGAAACCTGCAGACCAAAAGATAAAAATATATCATAAAGACACACCATCACACACAGGAATTATGACTCTTTGGTTGGGGCCAATTGGGGCAATTGAGCCCAGTGGAGTTCAGGGCTTACTCTTGGCTTTGTGCTTGGGGATCACTCTTCGTGGTGCTTCAGGGACCACAAGAATTGGGTGGGATTTAGCTGAAATCTGCCACGTGCAGGGAAAGTGTCTGATACCCTGTAAAATCTTTCTGGCCCTTAAGAATTGATTTTCAGATCAGAGGAATAATGCACTGACCTCATAGTAAGATTTGAGGGAGGTCCATTTCACACAGCATGTGAACACCCAGTTATGCTTATGAATCACACGAGGATCAGTGGTTTAATAATTTTATTAGGCCTTTCCAAGACTAACTTTCTATTGTATATTTTATTTATGTTTTATTAATATTAGGACTTATTCTAGGTTCTGTGCTCAGGGATCACTCCTAGTAGAACTCAGAGGAATAAATGTTATCAGAAATCACTCCCAGCTTGGCAGCTCATTTATTATAATATTTTTTTCCCTTTCACCCTTTGTATTACTTTTTTGTGGTGGGGCCATACACCTTACTATGTTCAGGAAACCATATGGAGTGCTGGGGAACCAAACCTAGGTTGGTTACATGCAAGACAAACAAGCTTATACTGTGCTATCACTTCAGCCTTGCTTTTTTTGCACTTGGGCTGGTGCTTATCTTTTTATAACATCTTAAGGGTTTTTTAAAAAAATATGTGAATTTATAAAGTAATTTCTCCTATGTACACTGCTTTATCTGTATCTTCAAACTTTATTATAGTTGTATCTTAAAATTCCTCATCTCAGCATACCTGCTGCCAATTTCTCATGAAAATTTGCAGTAAGTATGCTGATGGATATTAGCTAGACTTATTGGGACTATTTAACAATATTATCAATGTTAAATAAAATGTTGCACACCTGAAATAAATATATTGCATGTCAATTATACCTCAATAAGAAAGTGGAATGATTTATGAACTCAGAGGTTACACTATATACTGGACAGCTTAATCATTTCAACCTCTGTTTATTCAAAAATGCGTATTTAGATCTGTGCCAAACATCATGATGTATGGATCTGTGAATAATTATGGTCATGATATATTGTGCAGGGAAACTCACAAGAAGAGAGCCACGTATGGTGGAAGTGCAAGACTCTGATGAGAAATACAGTTGCATGAATCCAATGTTGACCAACTAGCAGTGAAAAGGAATGGGGTGGGGTTTGCCAGATCAAAGCCTATGTCGAGGTTCTTGAAGCAGAACCTGTAAGTGAGGCACTAAAGTCAAGGATGTCACCTAGACACAGATATTTTTGGGGGGTGTTTAAGATATTGTGGATCTAATGTAATTACCTCCCTGTTTATGTTTTAGTTCTCTCCATCCTGCCAGGACATTCTGTAGTGGCTAAGAAAATTCCCATTATTGAACAGTTGCCATGTGGACTACTGGCCACAAGGTGATGCTATTTACTTCTTTATCCCCTCATTTTATATATTCTTGGGAGAGGGTGGCTTCCTAAATGGAGTTCAGGGAAACTGGGGGGCCTTACTGGTGATTCTCAGTCAACTCAGGCAGCAAGTCAAATGCATGAAATCAAGGATGGGGTGCTCGGTGGGTCTCCAGGGTGTGTGGGGACCAACCATGGTCAGCTGCATGCAAGACATTTGCCTTAACTCGTGTACTCTCTCTAGTAGTACCAAACTCTCCTTACTTATGATATTTCTCTTATACTTTTCATTCTGGGACTAGCCCAGAGGAACTAAATCTTACCTAAGTGCCCTGAAACTGAGGTGATTTCCTACTTTCATTCTTTCTGAGAGAATTTCTGTATGTCAACTGGTGAGAGTTATTTCGGATATCCATTCCTGTGAGTCCTCAGAAGTAATCTGGGGTCTTGAATGAACTGAACAGTGTCTCCAGCCCTTGACAAAGGTGATTGCCCTCAGGAAGCATGTTGTGGCTCTTCGTTGATTCTCTAGATTGCTGCGTGGATACTGGAAGGGGTTGTCAGAGCCTGCATTGGAGGGAAGGCTCTGCGAGCAAGGCCAGGAAGAAATGGAGAGCTACCACCTAATGAGCCCCTCTCAGATATAAGGCCTTTTCCAGTGCCTATTCAAACTTTCTAATAAACTTCATGGGGTAGGTTTTCTCATTTTAGAGGCAAGGAACATGATACTGGTTGTCTTAATCTGTCCACCCCAAAGTGGGGAGGCTCCATTTCAAACCCAGACCTTGATTATCTTCATGGTGCCACATTCTCTTTCTTCATCTGTGAGATGTGCAAGATGAAGTCCCCTCCCTGTAACTCCCTTTGTAATATGTTAGAGGTCAAAGCATGAGGTACCTTCCTTGAGGGACAATGTGACTCAACATAACAAAAAAGAAGGCTTAATTATTTTGACTTATCTTATTATTATTATTATTTCTATTTTAATTCACGGGCCACATCCAGCCTTGCTCAGGGGTTATTCCTGGCTTTGTGCTTGTGGGTCACTTCTCTTCTCTTCAAGGGATCGAACCAGGGTCACTGTATGCGAGGCAAGCACCTAAACCCCTCTCTCTTCAGTCCCTTGGCTTAGTCAATGCCAGGTAGAAGGACACCTACAACTGCATTATGGAGGGGAATAAACACAACAGAGTACACAGGTCATGATGCAGAAAATACCTTGAGGTCCAGCATCTTAGAGAAGGAGACATGCAAGTAGGTATATGGACAGAAGTCCATACTCAGTATGGGATGTGATAGGTAAACACTTATAAGTTGAAAGATTTTTATTGTTCTTTTCTTCCCCCAAAGATGCCAATGCTCATGAAAATTCCAAGAGGGAATATATATGTATATGTGTGAATGTATACATACATTTATATATAAATACACATATAAATGTGTATATATATGTGCATATATATACATATATACGCGCATATATATTACTGTATAATTTCCTCAATAGCTCTTGGAGACTGAGTAAAATTATATTTCCTGATTCAGAGGTTATAACTTAAATATTCTGTGTGTAATCAAAAGGGGAAATTTGGAAATAGATGCATTGATTCTTGCAATCTACACGAATACTTACACGTTCTACAGTATTTCAAGTGATGCATCTAATTATGGCAACAAAAGCTATTGCCCCTTGCAAGTAGGAGAAAAATGGAGTTTCAAATAATCTTCTTGATATCTATTAAAATCTCTATAAAAGTAAGCCAGAAGCAGAAGAAGAGATACAAGATGACTTCACTTCTCTGTGGTACATAGAAAACCAAATCAAGGGTATGGGAAATATCAGTCGATAATAAACCTTGGAGACTAGAAATTGGATTCGAGAGTGCTAAGTTGAGGGGTGGGCGGTGAATGGATTGCTGGGAGGCAGAACAGAAACATAAGGGTAAGGTATTGAGCACACGGGTGGTGCTAAGGGAAGTAACTGTACCAGAGCTATAACTGTCAGTTGTCAGTTAACAAACAATGGTGCAGGGGTAGGAGGGAGGGAAGGCTGGACCTCAGTGGACTTAGGAATGGGAAGGAGGCTCATGGGCAGTGGCGTGGGCAGATCTTTGTGCATCACCATCAGAAACTTGAACACTATTGTAACTCTGTCACCTAAACTATAATAAGTACTTAAAAAAAATCAGAAACAGAAGAGTCTTTATATCTTAACCAAATACAAACTAGATTTTGCTCATTGAGCCCAAAGTCTAACAGAGAGTGAAAATATAAATCTATCAAATTTTTGCTCATTCTATAAATGTCTTTCTTACTACAGGAAAAGAGAATATTTTTTTTCTGTTAATTTATCCATATATTTTGTATACAGAAAGAATTGCTTAAAATGGGTGTTGTTTGCTTACCTGTGGTGTGGAGGTTTTATAAGGAAAGTCTTGGGTCACTTCTCAGTTTTCTCAAAGCCTGAAGAAGCCCTTTATGCTCTTTGAAGAGGCCACAGGAGCCCAGAGCAGAGGGAGCCACACCTGAGCCCTCTGTGTAGCACTGCAGCACTGTCCTCCTGTTGTTCATCGATTTGCTAGAGTAGGCGCCAGTAATGTAGCCATTGTGAGTCCTGTTACTGTTTTTGGTATATCGAATACACCACGGGTAGCTTGCCAGGCTATGCCATGCGGTGGGCTACTCTCCGTAGCTTGCCGGCCTCTCCGAGAGGGACGAGCCCTCTGTGTGGGCTACAGGAAAGACTCAGAGCAAAACAAATTGACTACGAGACAATTTCAGAACTCCAAAGGTATCACCAGAAAGAGTGTGGCATGGTCCTCTGAGTCCCCACTGGGAAATGGCCCTGAGCAGTACTGGGTGTGATCCTCAAGTAAAAACTAACAACACGAAACAACCCCACCAGTATAGCTTCTAAGTTGATTAACCAGAAAAAAAAATAGGTAAAATCAAAGCAGGTTGGGAAGGGGTAAGCTCAGAGTTCAGTGGCCAAGGTATCCATCCCTGGCCTCATGAGGTGAGTGTGAGTTGAACCTGGGATCTCTGCTGGCTGGTTCCAGCTGCAGGGAGGCCAGGTGTGTGGGAGCACTGCCACTGAAGAGTACCCTTCACCAAGAGCATGCGAATGAGCCCTGAGTACTGTGACCAGGATATGTGTTAGTGCCAATCTGAAAGAGAGTGAGCACGTGTGCAAGCATCACCCCTACCAAGGAGTGAAGTCCGGGGCATACCACAGTCCAGTGTGTGAGCCCCACAACCTGGCATGTGACCCCAGCAAGCACCCCCAGTCAGGTGTGAATGGGACCCCATCATTACACTGTCCCTGAAGGAAGGGAGGGGGAACATCTGAGAGAAATGTATCATTTATTTTATTTTATTTTAGGGTTTAATTGGCCTCTCCTTTCTCATCCTTCTCAATGCTGCCATATTGGTGAAGCCTTCAGGGTCAGGGGAATGAGACCCATTGTAATTACTGGTTTTGGCATATCGAATACACAATGGATAGCTTGCAAGGCTCTGCCGTGCAGGCGGAATACTCTTGGTAGCTTGCCAGGCTCTCCGAGAGGGATAGAGGCTTTTGGAGCGGCCTCTAATCGCCCTTGTAGGTGTTCCCATGGCTAAAACCATATTTGAACCTTATCATATTCCCAGAGTGAACAGATGCCAGTGGGCTACACTAGCATGTGACAGGGACAAATGGAGATGTTACTGGCGCCTGCTCGAGCAAATCGACGACTAACAGAAAGTTAAGTGATTAAATGATTAAGTGATCAAATATGGTACAGCAATTATGGAAGATGGCAGCATTGAGAAGGATGAGAAAGGAGAGGCCGATAAAATCTCAAGGCTAAACTAGGCTGCCAC